ACTAAGAACTAAGAATAGAATGGGGTTCGTGGGAGCCCAGAAATACATATGTCAGAGGCGATAGATATTTACGTAGATATGCAGATATAATTCGACCACTGGTAAATGAAAATGCCACGCCAGATGGTTCCAGACAGGAACAAAGAGACAAATGTAAAAACATTCCTACACCAAAGGAAGAATTAAGTGGCACGAACAAATCGTGTAAAATAAAAGTACGAATAACTTTCAACTTCACCCATATAATACCAATATAAACATATGCATAAAGTTTTCCATGATACTACCACTATACCCATTTACAACACAATCCATGGAACAACCGACAGCAGGCAAGCGGCAAACCGGCAATCAATTAAGTTGCATTTCAATTTCGAAATGGGAAAAACGAATTCAACTGTACTTGGAACGCCCCCACATTATCCCCAGCCCAGGGAACGTCCAAGGACCAACACGACCACGACCACGACCCTGTTACAGCTTTCGGGATACCCCTCCTATGGGATTTATTTTGGAAATTACTCAGCATTTGCACTTTGATAATGATGAATCTCCAAATGTAATAAGATAAGGGAGCCATATCCCTACAATTCCTGATGCATTTGCCGTGGCAAGTGATTCAAATGTGTCTTTTCGCTTATGGGAAATTTTTACAGCGCATCATTGGAATAGAATGGAATGGAACAGCAGCTGGTGCGGGTAGTAGGAGGAAGTACTCTGAGGAGTATTGAAAACCAAGTCCTAAGTGTAATGAATATTCCAGGTGCGTTTCGTAGGATGAATGAATGAATGGGTGAATGGGTGGAACCCATGGTGGGTGGGCGGTTGCCTGGTTACTGTTGTGAGTGCATTCACGATGGTGGTGCACACCCTGCAGACCAGACGCCCTCCTCGCCCCTATTACTGCTCTGTTCTTGGTTCACCCTTTGTGTTTAGCTTTTAATTAATTCTCAAGAAATTTTCCCAGCCGCTGGCTCCAGCTCCCCCCCCCAACGGTTTGCTTCACTTCAGCTTGAGGTTGAGTTTCCCAGGGAAAACTTTACCCATTGCTACGCACACACACACACACACACAAACACACACAAACACACAGATGCTCCTGGCATTCTCCTGCCTGCCATTTGGCATTGGGGAGAGAATCCACAGAGAGAGAGAGAGAGGAGAAGAGATTCGAGTGCGAGTGCAATTGAGCGGCAATTAAAGATGCAATTGCTAATTGCAAAATTATCCCAAAGTGGGCGGGCGGGTGTATGATGATGCTGCACTCTCGTGAATCCCGATAACTGTGTGGCAGTGTGGCAGTGCGGCAAGAGGGGCACATTATATTGGCTTGGCTTTCGGTTTTCATGGCAATTACTCCCGAGTAACAAGAATGGGTATGGGCCAAAGGGGTCTTCAGGTAATCCCCCCAATTCGATTGTAATGAATAATTCAATTGGAAATCCAATAAAGGGAAGAGTCGTACTCCCCTCTATCTCTGTCTCTCTCTGGATTTTCTCTGATTTTCTTTTGCTTTTTTCTGGCTTTCATGGATGGGTTTATCCATCCCACCGCCATCCATAATCAGCCTTAAAGTCAATTTCTGTTGGTTTTCTTTGGGTTCTACCTGCTGCTGCTCCCAAAAGGGAGAAATGAATCAGATTTTCCAATTCCACGTCCCTTTTGAAGTTGCATTACTGGACATGCTCATCGCCATTGTGGCACCAGTGGCAGTCATTCCACAATTAGCTTGAAATCGAATTTTGTTTTGTTCTTCTGTGTTCTGTTCTTTCCGTCACACCCACAAATTCTGGTCTACCTGCTGCTGCTGCTTCATCGGGAGTGGGGAGTGGCAGAGTGCACTCCCAGATGCGAGATACCCGAGCGAGGGAGCGAGAGTGACTCATATGCTCATGCCAGCACCACCACCACCACCACCAATGCTCGTTGCCACAATGAGAACAACTTCCGTCTGTGGCAGGGGCCAGGGAACAGCAAATAGGCCTCTTCCGGTACACACCCTCCAGTCCACGGACTGCTATCAGGTGCACTGCAAGTGTGGCAGCCACTTGTTGCAGTTGCAAGCTCTCAAGCATGAACTCTGCCACAACAAAAAACGTTGATCATCATTCGAATGAAGGGGGCGCCGCCTCCACCAAGGGATTGTGTCTGGGTGTGGGTGAAAGCGGGATGGCTTATCAGTATCTGTCCCTGTCCCAGTCCCCCAGTCCCTGCCACGACTCATGCCTCCTCTTCTCTGCTCTGCTCTCTCTCCGCTGGATGGCCACAAACAATTAACTTGTCGCATGTTGCTGTCATGCCACAACGGGGCAGCGGCAACAATGCAGAATGTGTGTCGCTGTTCTGGTCATTTGCTGATATGACAAGAGACATATGCAATCACACAGATACACAGATACAGATACACAAAAACAAGGACAGAGAGAGAGAGAGTGGAACACACAGATACAGCGATGGAAATGCAAAATACATTTAATGGCTTCCCCGCGTATCCGTGTGTCCTGCATTTATCTCTTATTTATATCTGTCCGTCCAGCTGTCCCTATGCCACTGCCTCCATCTACTTTTCTATCTGCACTGACCATGCACTGCACGAAAAAAAAGTGCCTGAAAGCACAAGTAAATTCAATTTGAACTGCTTTCCAGGATCCTCAGCTACGATCACAGTGCACGCTCCCTTGGGCGGACAGAGGGCTGTATGTCTGCCCATTCCAACATTCCACAGGTAGAAACCAGGCTGCCATTTGCTTATGGGAAATTTGTACAGCAGTTCTTTCGACGAAACAGAGCTTTATTCAATCCCCTTCTTGAGTGGCAACTGTGGAAGGATGCCACTCGAATTGTGGCAGCTTCCTTGTTGCTATAGATCCAGAAAGTGGCTTCTTTGTTTGCTTCAGTGTAACAATGGAATGGACTCTTCCCTTTCGCACCCTTTTCCGGCTGCCCTGTGGCTCCACCGTCCCTCCTTCCGTGGCTGTTGTGTGTGTGCCTAATGCCAGAGCCATCATCGATGTGAAAGCCTTTCGGGTCGTGTCGGATAGGGTAGGGTCTGGTCGGGTCGGGTCGGGTCTGGGCATTGCCCACTTCACTTCACGACTGACAGCTTTGGCAATTGTTGTGCTTTTGCCGTGTGCCGTACCCATGCTCTTTGCTCTCCGGCCTGGCCTGGCCTGCCCATCCCAATGGGTTATTGATGATCCCCGGGCCAGCGGGATTAGTGTGGGACGCGAGGAGACTGTACGAGACTGCCTGTGACTGTGACTGTGCCTGTGCCACAGATATCCCGTACAGCCGGGCCACGTATTTGTCCATTAGCCGGACATCAATCATGATAATTGCCCGCTGCTGCTGCTGCCTGGTCTGACTGGTCTGCCTCGTCTGCCTCGTCTGTGAGATTTGCTCTTGCGTTTGCATTTGCTGAGGTGATTGTCAGCCAGCTGCCGGCTACCAAACTACATAATTGAAATGTCCACAGAAATGAGCATCAGCCGACCCAGCCCGTGCCCGAGCCCGTGCCCGTCCCCTCCCATTCATTAATTCAAATGAACAACTAACTCGGATTCATCCGATTGCATCAACCGAATGCTGGAGCACCAGCACAGCTTCCAGCACCAAATATTGGACTCCCCCACTGCCAATTCAGTTGTGGATGCCGTGGCTGCTGCTCTACTTCCGATTTATCGATATTTTCTTTTCATATTTTTCATCTACATCTTCTTGGGCTTCGTTTTCTTTCCCTTTCCCTTGCCTGTGCTTCTGGCTGCTTTTTGTTTGTGTTGCTGCAAGTTGCTGTTGTTGCAAGCCTTTGCAGCAGGGTCTGTTCTTGATGTCAGAGCCAAAGGCATTTTAATTCGTTTATGGTTCCCGCTTACCCCTCTCACACTCCTGCACACTCTCTCTCTTTCTCTCTCTCTCACCATCTCTCTTTCTAACGCCTTGCCCGTCGGCTGCTGCTGTTACGCAAATTTAATTGTCTCGCTGGATGCCCCATGCCTCACGGCCCATGCCCCAAGCCCCAGGCCTCCTGCATTCCGCCAGAAATCGGTTTTTAATGCATTGTCCCCCGCCCTTCGATTGAATGGCAATGTGCGGATGCCATTCTATAAATAGAATTCAGAAAATGGAGCACTTGGATGGTGGTGGGGGTGACTGGAAGAGGACATTCTCCTACTGGACAGAGCATGTCGTCGGAGGCGGTGATGAAGATGGAGCTGGAGACGTCTCTCTCTCTCTCTCTGTCTCTCTCGTCTGTGAATGAAGTTCATCGAGGGGGCAGTGCGTGGTCGGAATCAGTACTATGTGGGTGGTGGTGGGGGGTGTCACTGCTGCACTTGTCAGGATATTCCAGAACCAGCTGCTGGAATTGCTTTTGTCGTGCTGCTGGGTGGCAGGCACAGCCACTGGCACAGGCACTGGCCACACCATCAAATTCACTTTGTCAATTAGCCCTCAGGTTCGCTGCTCCGCTTTAGAAAACCCCATAATCCAAAAGTCGAACAAATTAAGGCGCAAATTGCCTTGCCACGAAAATGAAAAGCAGTCACAGACGTTGGCTAAAGGAGAGGGGTTGGCGGTGTGGGGGCATGCTATGATAAAGGGGAAAGTGTGAGGGTGAAAGAAAAAAAAAAAAAGTTAAAAGTTTGACAAAAGCTGTGGCGGGGGGGGGGGGGAGGGGTCCAAACCCCTTTTCATAATTGAAAACTTTTTGAAATAATAAAGGACCTCCACCCCCCTGGAACAGCTATCACCCCTGCCCCTGACTGCCAAGCACAGTGCAGCTCAAACTGTGGCCCTGTGTTTGAGAGCCTGTCGAATGGGGCAGGGAGGGGGATGGGATAGAGATGGGATCCTATGGGACTTGGCTGGACGCCATCCGATGAATCGAGAAGCAAAAAAATCGTAACTTTTGACGAGACTGTATCCCCCGCGCTGTGCTTTGATTTCCATTTCCTTGACTAATGCAATTCCCTTTGCTCATTTCCATGAATTCCCTTGAATAGGAATCGCCGGCGCTCCGGCTCAAGCATAGTTGTCCTGGACGGTGATGATCTGAAGCCATGTCTCCCGGATGATTACATAAGTGGACAGCATCATCACTTGCAACAGCAACAGCTACAGCTACAGCAGCAGCTGCAGCAGCAGCATCCGCAGCATCCACAGCATCCACAGCATCCGCTGCAGCAGCACTATCGCACGCATTCGAGCGACATAAGAGAGATTGACCAGGAAATGCTGACCATGCTGTCCGTGAATCAAGATAACGGTTAGTATTAATACTCTATATAATTTAATTTTTGTATCTACATTTGTGTATCTCTCTCTCTCTCTCTCGCTCTCACTTAATGCAGGACCACATCGTGAGATGGCCGTCGATTGTCCGGACACGTTCATAGCACGCAACAAGACGCCACCCAGATATCCGCCACCCCGTCCACCGCAGGTAAGCAACAAAAGAAAAAGCCACCCAACAAAGACCTAAAACCACACACCCAGCCAGCCACCCACCAAACACTAACAACAGCACCACCACTTAACACCACCAAGCAACTGTCGAGAATAACCCAAAATAAATAATGCAAAGGTAGAAACCAAACCCCCACAGACCCCGCAGTAGAACGAACCCCAGACCCCCACCCACCCAAAAGAGAAATTAATAAATTAATAACTTGTACAAAAATAACCTATAAATAACAACAACCAATCGCTGCTACATTCCACACACACTCATCATTCACATTCACATTTCATGCATATTCTCTTTTCAAAAACCAAAAACCTGCACCATCATCCACCAACATGCACCACTAAAACCATGCACACACACACACGCACACCTCACACACACAGAAACACAAAACCAACAAGAAAACCAACAAGAACACCAATTCCAACAACACCAACACCACCAATACCAATTCCAACACCAACACCAACTCCACCAACAACATATCGACATTCCATAACGATGATCATGCTAACAAATTGTTAATTGTTGCATATCATTCTTCACATCAACATGAACAACAACAACAACAACAACAACAACAAAAACATGAACACCATCATCATCAACACACAACAACAACAACAACAATTGTTGCAACCATCGATGACGATGTTGCCACACAAAATCTGTACAATCAAAAACAACAAAATAAATTGGAACAAATCGAAAACTATGAAAATTGTCTACAATCGGAACAACAACAACCACATCAACAACAGCAGCAGACAACAGTGGCAACAGCAGCAGCAACAACAACCACCGCCACAACCACAGCTACACAAGTGGCAGAGCAGCAGACGCCATGCAACAATAAGTTGCAACAACAGGCAACGATCAACAGCAACAGCAATAGTGGCAGCAATAGTGGCAGCGGCAGCGGCAGCAACAACATGACAGATGATTATCTCTGTGTGGTGGATGGCGGCCACTATCGCAGTCAGGACTCCGGCTCACCCACGTCGACAGGCACCTTCGACGAGGTGCTGAGCAAGCATACCCTGGACTCCTTTGGCAGCATTGCCTACCGCCACTTGCACCAGCACCAGCAGCAGCAACAAGCGACGAGCAACGGCAACAGCAGCGGCAGCGGAAGTGGAAATGGAACGACTGCCACGCCCAACAAGGGGCAGCCGCAGCCTGTGGATGATCAGACCTTGGCCAGCAGCAATACGTGCCACACCACAAGCAACAGCAACAGCAATTCGCTGAACAGCAGCAACAGCTCCATGCACACCAGCAACAGCAGCAGCAGCCACATTGCCAGTGGCGCCTCCTCCTCGCTAACGAACCCCACCAGCATCAGTAACAGTAACAGCAACAGCAACAGCAGCAGCAGGGGCAGCAACGGCAGCAGCTCGACCGTGCCCGATGACCTAAGCCTTGCCCCGCCCGGCTATGAGCCAGTGGTCGCACTGCTGCCAACCCTGCCACCGATGGCCAAGCACAGGGAGCTGCCTGTCGATGTGCCCGACAGCTTCATCGAGATTGTGAAGACGCCGCCGCGATATCCGCCACCGGCACATCTCTCCTCACGCGGATCGCTGCTCTCCAATGGCAGCGCCTCCACGGCCCAGACCACGCTCTCCCCGCTGCCTTCTGCCACTGTTGCCACTGTGGGGGCTGCCGCTGCCGCTGCCACTGCCACTGCAACTGCTGCTGGCGGTGGGAGTGGCATAGGCATAGGCGGCGATGCGAAGCGGGTGTCCGATGAGGTATACCACATTGTATTTGTACTTTGAATTGAATCTTTCTACATAGAGCTTGGTCCCCAGCTCTGTCTTTTCTCTCCTTGTCTTTCTCCCTAACTTTATCGCTCTCTCTCTCTACATCTCTCTGTATCTGTATCTGTGTCCTCCTGTTTCCCTGTGTCCCCCTCTTGTTCTCTACAAACTCTCTCTGTCTCGTAGTTTCTCTTTGATTTATGTACATAAGTGTGTGGCATATTGTGTGTCCCTGTTCCTGATGTTACTTTGAACCACGATTTATCCAGTGATCCAGGGACCCCTGCCAGAACAGGAGCATTTAATTTTAAATCGATTATTAAAATATATCGACTGTATATCGAAGCAAGTATTTTTTAGCAGTGGAAAAGCAGCAGCCTACAGATAATACCCAGCTTTTGTTCGTTTGACTAATTAGCGTGGCCCCACCATCCCCCCACCCACCAGCAGCAGCAGCCAGCACGCTTAAAGCAGGTCGGACATTGTTCCACAGTTGACCCCGAGGCGGCATGTGGCATGCGGCACACACCACCCCACAGCCCAAGCAACCCCCTGCGAAATCGGTTGGCCTAATTCATGGAATTAGAGCCGCAGCACTGGCCTCGTTAGCAGTGGCCTAATCCAAACATAACCAGAAGAGGACCACCCCGCACCACCCCACCACCCTACTTCAGCCACCCTTTCACGCCCAGTGGGGTGCTGGTTGGGGCACGGGGCACGGCACCCGCTGTGCCGCCTGTTCCCGCTGCTTATTTCATCATTTGCAGCTCTCTCTCTTCCACTCTTCCTCTTGGTCTCCCGCTCTCCACTGAGCACTCTTTGAGCTCTTTCAGGCGATGAAAAATAAATGCCATTTATATGAAATTGCTCTCGATTAATTTTCCAATGGCTGCAGAACAAAAGCGGAACAGAGACAGCGACAGAGACAGAAAGAGAGAGAGAAAATAACGCTTTTCCTTTCAGTTTTGCTGTATCTGTAGCTGTATCTGTGACGCTGGTATGTTGCTTTTGCTGTCCTTCCCCCTTTTCAAATCTCTTTTTTTATTCTTGGCTTTGGCAGAACGGCAGAACGGCACAGCTGACAGTCGAACAGACAGACAGACAGACAGGATAGATAGACGGACAATGCACTGAATGAAAGGAATCAAGAGAGTAATTGCATTTATTTTCCGAGTGTACTTCATCTACTCCCCGAGTCGAGTCACTCTAAGCTCCAGCCTTCAAGCTCTCGCAGCAAATGACACCCACAAAACTTCAAGTACAATGAGGGGAGGTAGCTTAGATTATCTCTCGATGCTGCTGCCCAGCCATGGTTCCCATGTCCGCTACACGATATGCCCCCAAGTGGTTCCAGGATGGTCAAAGGACACCCACACAACGTTCAGGCAGAGCCCAACAGCAGCAGCATCTTAGATATCCGCTAAAGGACCAGCCAAGCGATGGTTCCCATGGCACGAAAGGATTATGCCGAGAAATGTTCAAGGCTCTGCTGCCTTTAAGGTTTTCATAATTTATTTTTGTTAATTTAAATGCCACTTGTAGCACAGTTCCATTAGCAGAACATTCGCATTCGCCAATGATGCTCGTTTCACTGGATATCCTTTCGGGAACTTCACATGCCGAGTCGTTACCTACGGACAAGAAGCGTCTGCTGCCTCAGAATAGACTCGTCATGCACACGACATGTATTTTGTTTTTGGGAATTATCTTTTAAACGTGCCCTATAGGATCTAAAGATATACCCAGGCATCTAGATTGACTTTGTGGAAGCATCCAAATGCATCCACTTAGCCAGGGGCTCCCAAGGGGACATAGCCCGGGAAGGGTTGTTTGTTTCCCCATGTCTCTGCAGTCTGTCATCCATCTTGCAGGGGGGACGGGGCCTTGCACCTAACACAGAACACACAAAATCCATTAAAAAAGGCTAATTCTGAAAATCATCAGTCACACACAAACACACACAGAAACATGCGCACACACACACACACACAAAACTGAAACACACATCATATACACACATGTGGATAATGAACTGTAATCAGGAAATCAGAAAAAGCTGATGTGAAAAATTGCGTTTTTCCACAGCTCAATGGCAATGCCAAGCCTGTGCCACCGCCCCGGGATCATCTGCGGGTGGAGAAGGACGGCCGGCTGGTCAACTGTTCGCCCGCCCCCCAATTGCCGGATCGTCGGGCAGCGGGCAATGGCAACGGCAGCAGTGGCAGCCACAGTCAGCAGCACCATCCGCAGCAGTTGCACCACCATCAGCAGCAGCAACAGATCGCTCAGATTGTGGAGCCCACGCTGGAGCAGCTGGACAGCATCAAGAAGTATCAGGTGAGTTTAGCGCTAATGTTCCATAAGCGGATGAGCGGATCAAATTTTGAAGAAATTTGTGGTGGCGCCTGGGGGATAGGCTATGGAAATTTTCAGCTGCTTAAGACACTCTGCCAATGAATGTCAAACTGTCAACATTAACCGTTTGAAATGAAGGGGGAATAAGTTAAAGTGGTTTTTTTCCTATAAATTTATTCATTAAATTAAATTATTAAATATCTACGTACCCCCCAAATGAAGTCTGCTGTGAGTAGGCTGCAAAGGAGATACATATGTATAATAATCCTAATCAGTCTCGAAGTTGGATTCAGTGACTCACCTTTTTGCTTTCTGCTCTCCACACTGGCAATGTTCTTCGTGGATTTGCTGTGTGGGTCTGGGTACCTGGTGATCTGCTGATAATGTTTTGTGCTCCACTGTATCTACTGTACCTCCGCAGGCAGGTTAGCCGTTCCATTTAGCATTTGTGTAGCTCTCTGCTTTGTGGCACCGTGGGCCACAAAGTTTGCTGTCTCGTTGACATGCATAACATGTAGCCATGTGGCCCGTTCCCTTTCCACCGCCAACTACTCACCGTTCTTCCCTCCCCCCTCAGGCACGCCCAGCCCTTGTCAACAGAACAAACGTTTTTTATTTATTTTTTTTGTGTGTGTTTGGGGCAACACTTCCGGTTCGTTTGCTGTTTTACTCTTCTTTTGTTTGTTCTTTGTTCTCCAGTTCTGTGGACATTGACCACAAGTGCAGTGGCTCTCGAACTTTAAGCTGTACTTAAACAGAAAGAAGAATGGTGTGGGGGAGGGGGAGCGTTGGGCAGCGGACAGTGGACAGCGGGAGTTTTGATTTTGCGCGACCCCTGGACCCCTGGACCCCCATTGCATTTAACCAGTAAAACTATTATAAAAACTTTAACCGCGCCACAACACAATACCATCAAGGGGGCGGGACGGTGGCAAGGTGCGGCGGCGTGGCCAGGTATGCTGGATTTTAATGGCGGCGAGGGCAGCGGAACGGGTGTTGGCAGAAGGGCGTAACTGTTTATGCGGAACTACGGCTTAAAGGCGGGCGGAAGGGGGTCGTGAAAAAAGAAAAGTTGCTCAACAACTTTTTCCTCTGGGAAGAGCAGTGGGTGGAGCGTGTGTCCAGCAGGGGGAAGGATGTGTGTATGTGTTCATGAGAGGAGTGTGGGTGGAGGGTGAGGGTATGGGTTCGGGTTCTGCTGTTGTCCAAAGCGTAGGAAAAAGGAAAATTATAATGCTGTTAAAAAGTAAAACATTTTGCATTCATTTGGCTGCCTGCAAGGCATGTGGGCGGTGCTGCAGGGTGGTGCTGGGTGGTGTCCCAACCCCCACCCAGAGGGTGGCAAAAAGTTGTTTAATGCAATGATTAATTATGCAACTTTTTAATCGAATTGTTTCATTCCGCCTGCGGACATCTCTCTGAAAAATTGCACCCTCTCACGTTTTGCCCCCTTATTTGGCGCGTATGCGTAGGCGTGGCAGCGCAAAAGATAAATGCATGTAATTAATTGAAAACTGAAAAGCAAATCATGGGGAAAACATTTTTCCAGCATCCATGCAACACACATACATACATATGTATGTGTGCGAGTGAGAGAGGAGAGTGTGCTGAAGGAGTTAGAGGACATTGGATGGATGACACATACATATTGGCTGTGTTTGGGTATTATTACGAAGAGAGTATGAAGCGAATACTTTATGAAAAAGAATGAAGAATTCATGCAAAAAATTGTATATTAAATTGCATTAAACTTACGTTAATTTCCTTCAAGAGATGGATGCTTAATTGCGAAATACTAGCTCTGCTGAGGAGAACAAAATCTCGGCAGTTTTTGTCTACTCTCTAAAATCTCTGAAAATTGAGCATCAAAAAGAAGCATCTAAAATACTTATTGATAATATTTATTGATAATTATCAGTATCAATGATTCGCGTTTTTTTGGTTGCAATTGAATGCTAGTTGTAATGGATGTTCAGTGTAATAAGCCCTTCTTTTGGGCCTCCCCTCCACTCCTTAGGTCATGGTAATTATCAATGCATATTTGTGGAATTTATCAGGGCAAGCATTCTTATCGGCTCTCTGTTATCGCTATCGACTCTGTCTGCCATCGTAAATAGGAGCACACATACATAGTAAATACATGTACGTATGTACGTAGATACGCGCACCTCCGAAGCGATTTTGTTTGTCATTTTTCACCTGTTTGCTTTTGATTTTATTTGTTTGCTTTTGTTGAAAGGCGACTTTTGTTGCTACTGTTCATGCACCCTCGCCCCTCGCCACCCGCCCACGCCATGACTTTTCCCCTTCTCCGTCTCCCGATGTTGCGTGTCAAAAGTACGAAAATTAGTTAAACATTTCATTTAATGCGCATTTTGTGGCGAGCGAACTGTAAGCAAAAAACTGACCCACCCACACGCAGATACCTTCCCAGACACGGGTGGGCACAACACACACCACACACACACAGACACACAGATACAGATGCAGCCTAAAGCAGAATGCGTTTTAAGCCGGCTTACACCTCTCCAACTGTCGTTCCTCCGGCTCCCTCCTCGCTTCGCTTACGCTCTCACACGCCGATGGATGGCTGGTTGAACTCTCGGCTCTTCCCCTCACTTGCTCTTTTACACACCTGCTCAGCGGTGCTCTCCTCCTGCTGCTGCTGCTGCTGCTCTGTCCCTCTCTCTCTCTCTCTCTCTGGCCGCCAGCACGCTCGCTCCCAAGTACTGTATAAACGAAGCAGCTGCTGCTTTGCACAAAAAATCAATACCATTTGAATATTCATGAATCCCTGTGAGTGCGCCTTTGAGTGTGTAAAAGATCATTGAAACGCTAAAATATACCCAAAGCTTTGGCTACATAGCAGCAATGAAAAGGAAAGCCCCTTACGCGAAGCTCAATGAAGGGGGGAAATACTAGCAAAAGTATTTGTATAGCGACAAAATTAAAAAGTTTATTAAAGCTTTAAGCGATATTCTCTCCCCCCAGCCCCAAAGGAAGGAAGTACTAAGAGGATTTATGTTAGATACATATATGAATAGTTCCTGAAGGCCTATGCTGCTCCAGCATGAAGTGAATGTCATTCGAGTGCTGTGGTGTGCTGTGCTGCTTGGTACGTGCTCTCTTGGTACGGGCAATGTGAATGTTGCCTCGTTTCGACAGTGCTTAAAACTGAAGCTCTGCCTGCTGCCGCTTTGTCGCTTCCGTCGCGACGGTGCTCTGCTGCTGTCGGTGGTGCTGTCGCCCGGCTGTCGCTCTGCTGCCGTGTGTGGCGCTCGTTTGTTATGATTTCACAGTCGCGATTTTAGGTGTTCGGCGATCGGCCGCAGAAAATATATTCTGGTTTTTTTTTGTTTTGTTTTCGTTTTTGCCCCTCCCTCATTTCCAACATCATTGCGGGCCAAGTGCGTTACCCAAAAAGTAAAATTCGAAACAAATTAAGTCGCGATAAGATAAAGATTCATAAATATCTTTTGAAGGACAGTGTGCCTCTATAAATTGGGAACTACAAATTGTGTTGCCTTTTGATTGATCAAGGATTTCATTATCTTCGGGGTCACCGTTTGAAAGCCACTGTGCTGGACAGTTTGTTATTTTTTTGGGATTTTTTTGTTTTTGTTTTATTTTTGTGTGGCGCAATTCGTGTGCTTTTTTGCAATTCGAGCAGTGCAAACAAGGCGTGGCTTGATAGCCCATAAAAGCCAAAAATTTCTTACTTTTGCCAAAGCACGTACCACACACCACAGCAAAGGCACTCCAAAAAAACTCCAAAAAAAACCAAGAAAAACACACAAAAAGACAAAAAAACCGACAGCAATTCAACAACGGTTTATGCGCCAAAAGGAGGCAAAACAAGGCGTGGCAATGGCAGTTGCAGCCATAACGGAACGATGCTCGCGTAACCAAAGCCAACGGGTATGGCAATGGGAATGCAGGAGGAGGCAGGAGGCAGGAAGCACATGCATACTCGTAAAAAATCACTCGACAAAAGTTGAGAAAACAATTTTCGAAAACCAACAAACCAACAAATAAAAAACCGAAAAAACGAAAGTGCAATCAAGGATGATAACGGTGAATTAACAGTGTGGCCAGGTGCAAAAAGCTGTCGAGCCAACAGGACAGGACACAAAAGTGTGACCAAATAAAAATAAAAAAGGAAAAACACAAATTGTGAGACAAAGTGTGATAAAATAAGAGAATACTCGAAATGTACAGGAAGATTGTGTGGTTTTATAAATAAAATAACCTAAGAATAAAAAAGGAAAAAAATAAAGGCCAGAATTTGGTTGAATTATGACCAAAGCCAGCAGCCAGAAGCCAGAAATTCGGAATTGAATATTTATTCTCTCTATTAAATTGCATTGATTTTGTGTAGATCGTATTTTAAGAGAACAGAAACCGAAACAGAACAGAACCGTCTTGGACTTTGCTCTGACGCACGACTTTTGTATAGTCCAGAGTCCAGAACAAAGAGCAGCCACAAATTATAATATCCGAGTGAATGATAAACAGTTGAGGTGAACTCTTTATTTTTGTCTGTATTTTTTACCTTTTTTTTTCGCCCCCCCCAGCCCCCCATTCCCTTTGTGTGTGCTTTTCTGTTATTGTTATTCCGAATGGAAATGCAGCGTCAACGGCGGCTGCTCATTTCCCAAGCCAGGCACGTCGCCAGCAGCAGCTAAAACAACAACAACAACAGCACCAACAATGGGAAGGAAAGGGAAGGCTGACTGGCTGGTTGGTTGGGTAAAAAATAAAAATAAAAAAACGAAGCAATAAATATACAAATAAACAAATTTGTAAAATGAAATAGTTGTAAAAATGCACGAGCATTTCCAGTGGCCGCCGCCTGTCGCCTGCCGCCTGCCTGCTGTTGAATGGAAAGCATGAATATATTTTTTGTTTTTGGTTTTTTTTCGGCGAGGCTAAGATACATAAATACATATAGTAGATAGAGAGAATGTAGAACTATCGCTGGA